CTCCTTCTGTGAAGCCAACATAACCCTGATACTGAAGCCAGGTAAAGACACTACCAAACAAGAAAACTACAGACCAATATCCCTCATGAAATGCAAATGCAAATTTTTTAAACAAAATTCTGGGGAACAGAATTTAACAACGTATTAGGAAAATATACATCATGATCAAGTGGGATTCATACCAGGAATACAAAGATAGTTCAACATTAGAATATCAGTGTAATTCTCAACACATTCATAAAACAAGGAAAGGAACCTCATGACCATCTCAGTTGACAGAGAAAAAGTATTTGATAAAATCCAACACCCTTTCCTGATAAGAACTCTCAGCAAAATAGGAATAGAAGGGAATTCCTCAACATAAATGAGGGTATATATGCAAAGCCAACAGCCAATATTATCCTCAATGGAGAAAGAGTGAGAGTCTTCCCCTTGAAAACGGGAATGAGGCAAGAATGCCCACTATCACCACCCTTATTCACTATTGTACTGGAAGTTCTAGCCAGAGCATTAAGGAAAGAAAGAGAAATAAAGAGTATCCAAATAGGAAAGGAAGAAATAAAATTATCCTTATTTGCAAGTGCCATAATCCTATACATAAAACCCCCAAGAGTCCACAGGGAAGCTCTGGGTCTAATAGATGAGTTCAGCAATGTTGTGTGATACAAGATCAACACAAAAAAATCAGTTGGATTCCTATGCACTAACAGAGAGAAGAAGATGAAAAGGAAATCAGGAAAACAATACCATTTACAGCAGTTCCCAGAATTATTAAATATCTAGGAATAAACCTAATCAGAGATGTAAAAGACTTATACAGTGAAAACTATAAAACACTGTCTTAGTCATCTAGTGCTGCTCTAACAGAAATACCACAAGTTGGTGGTTTTAATAAGGAGAAATTTATTTTCTTACAGTCTAGTAGGCTAGAAGTCCAAATTCAGGGCGTTCACTCCAGGGGAAGGCTTTTTCTCTCTTTCAGCTGTGGGGGAAGGTCCTCGTCATCATCAGTCTTCCCCCGGACTAGGAGCTTCTCTGCACAGGAACCTTGGGTTCAAAGGACACGCTCTGCTCCTGGTGATTCTTTCTTGGTGGTATGAGGTCCCCCATTCTCTGCTTGCTTCCCTTTCCTTTTATCTCTTATAACGTAAAAGGTGGTACAGGCCACACCCTAGGGAAACTCCCATTACATTGGATCAGGGATGTGACCTGGGTAAGGGTGGTGTTACAATCCCACCCTAATCCTCTTTAACATAAAATTACAATCACAGAATGGAGGCCAGCCACACAATTCTGGGAATCATGGCTCAGCCAAATTGATACACACATTTTTGAGGGGACATAATTCAAACCATGACAAACACTAATACAAGAGACTAAAAGAGATCTACTTAAATGGAAGGACATTCCCTGCTCATGGATTAGAAGATTTAATATTGTGAAAATGTCAGTAGTACTCAAAACCATCTGTAGATACAATGCAGTTTTGATCTAAATTCCAACAACATTGTTTACTGTAATGGCAAAAACTAATCACCAACTTTATATGGAAAGGAGTGGGGCCCTGAATAGCCAAAGAAATATTGAATGGAAAGAACAAAGTAGGAGGCCTCACAGTTCCTGAACTTAAAACATACTGTACATCTACAGTAATCAAAGCATCCTGGTATTGGTTCAATGATAGACACATAAACCAATGGAGTAGAATAGAGTACCCAGAAAAAGTCTATCCATCGGTGGACAACTGATTTTTGACCAAGCGTTAAAGTCTATTCAGTGGGGAAGGAACAGTCTCTTTAGCAAATGGTACTGGTATAATTGGATAACCACATGCAGAAAAATCAAACAGGACCCATACCTCACACCATACACAAAAACTAACTCAAAATGAATCAAGGACCCAAATGTTAAAGCCAAACCGTAGAGTTCTTGGAAGAAAACATACGGGCAAAACTATGGGACTGTCTTAGTTATCTAGTGCTGCTATAACAGAAATACCACAGGTAGATGGCTTTAACGAACAGAAGTTTATTCTCTCACAGTTTAGGAGGCTAAAGTCCAAATTCCAGGTGCCAGCTCAAGGGGAAGTCTTTCTGTTGGCCCTGGAGAAAGGTCCTTGTCATCAGTCTTACCCTAGTCTAGGAGCTTTTCAGTGCAGGGACTCCAGGTCCAAAGGATGCACTCGCTCCCAACTCTTCTTTCTTGGTGGTAGGACATCCCTCTCCTTTCTGCTTGATTCTCTCTTTTATATCTCATAAGAGATTGACTTAAAATATGGCCTAATCTTGTAGTTGAGTCTTCCTTCATTAACATAACTGCCTCTAATCCTGCATCAGTAACATCATAGAGGTTAGGATTTACAGCACATGGGATAATCACATCAGATGACAAAATGGTGGACAGCAAGACGGTACTGGAAATCATGGTCTAGCCAAGTAGACACACATTTTGGGGGGATGCAATTCAATTCATAACAGGGACCTAGTTTTTTTTTTTTTAATGACAGATTATCAAATACAACTACAAATGCAAGAGTAGCAGAAAACAAAATAGGTAACTGAGACCTCCTAAAAATTAAATACTTATGCTGCTCATCAAAAAACTATCAAAAGAATAAAAAGACAACCTACAGACTGGGAAAAAATCTTTGGGAGTGACATATCTGATATGAGTCTAATTTCTGAAATATACAGAAAACTTCAACAACTCAGTAGCAAAAAGATAAACAACACAGTTAAAAAATGGGCAATGGATATGAACAGACACTTCACCAAAGAGGACATTCAGATGGCCAACAAACACATGAAATGATGTTCACGATCTTCAGCCAATAGAGAAATGCAAATCAAAACAACAATGAGATATATCTTACCCTTGCTAAAATGGCACTGATCACAAAAACAGAAAACAACATACGCTTATAAGGAGGTGGGGAGATTGGAACCTTTATCCATTGCTGTGGGACTGTAAAATGGTACAGTCACCATGGAAAATGGTATGGCACTTCCTCAAAAAACTAGAAATAGAACTAACTTATGACTCAGCAATCCCACTCCTGGGTATATACCCTACAGACCTAACAGAAGTGACATGAACAGACGTACGGTCACTGCTGCAGTCTTCAGTAGAGCAGAACGGGGGAAACAACCTAAATGCCCGTGAATGGATGAATAGAGAAGCGAAGTGTGGTACATACATGCAGTGGAATACTATGCAACCATAAAGATAATGATGAATACTCAAAACATAACATGGATGAATCTAGAGGACATTATACTGAGTGAAATAAGTCAATCACAAAGAAATATTGAATGATCCTACTTTTCTAAAAAGACAAAAGTATGTATACATACAGAAACCAACCTTCATTGGTGGTTACTAGGAGGAGTAGGTGGGGAGAGGGGGACTAACTCCTTAGACAGTTATTGCTGTTGTTAGGTGCCCTCGAGTCGGTTCCGACTCATGGTGACCCTATGTAGAACAGCACGAAACACTGTCCGATCCTGCGCCATCCTCACAATCGTTGTTATGCTTGAGCCCATTGTGGCAGCCACTGTGTCAATCCCATCTCGTTGAGGGTCTTCCTCTTTTTTGCTGACCCCGTACTTAGACAGTAGACACTTGTTACTGCCGCATCTTTCTTCTCTTGAGTAGCTGGTGGGTTTGAACGACTGACCTTTCGATTAGCAGCTGAGCGCTTAACCATGGAACCATTGATACACCGAGTGCTAATTCTTAATAAGTTTGTACATTGTTAATCATATCTTTGAAGAGTCGTGATTTTTAACGTTTGTCTAAACTATCCTGGCTTTTTTTTTCATTCGAAGAATTTTTGGAACTATGGAGGCTGGGTGAGCCCCTGAAACTATTGCCCTGAGATAATCTTTACACTTTAAGCCGAAAATATTCCCTGAAGTCTGCTTTAAACCAAACAATAGTTAAGCTTAACTAGTAAGGAATGCCTGCCTTGAGCATTGTGCCCTTTTAAGATCTGTCTATATGGGATCAAACTGACAACAGCAACTTGAAGGATTAGAAAGGAAACTTAGAGGGCAATGAGTTTATATTAATAGGGGAGGAACAACTCAGAAAAGAAGGGTGAGGATGGTTGCAGAACTCCAAAAATGTAATCAGTGTCACTGAATTGTACATGTAGAAACGATTGAATTGGTGTATGTTCTGCTGTGTATATTCTCAATGACAACAAAGGTACGATAAATTATAAAAAGAAAAGTTGAGCTTGTCATTCTCTTCTCAGCTCACTTTACCTGCTCATTCCATATCATTCTCCCCTGTTGGATCATATGGCATTGCTTGTAATAATTGAGTTTAAGTTTTTGTTATAAATCATAGGTAGTCTAAATAAATCATAGGTAATATAAGTAAATCATAGGTTCGCAGCATAAATTTGTGTTCTCTTTGTCCACGAGTGTTGAGGATCTTTTGATTTTCAGGTTTTTTTTTCCGATAACGCAGTTGAATGTGCCAGTAATGTTGAAAATTGATCACTGTGGAAACTCTGGCAGTCTAAGGAGTAAGTTGGGAGTGTTACATATATGTCATTGCCAGATTTTGGTGTGAGAAGCGCATGTTGTGATCTCCTAATTATGTTTAGCTTACCATTTTAACCTTTATTAATCATTGTAACCAAGGTTATTTTATCCCAGCAACTCCTGTGGTAGATTTTAGTTTGTACTGAGACACATAATATAATAGCTGACTTTGAAATTTGGTTATAAGAGCATGAAGATTCTAATTTTCACAAAAAAAGTTTTTCCTTAAACAGTGAAGTTACATGTTTAAATTAGGTGACTATTTTTTTCTTATTTTTAAAACCAAACTGAATTAAATTGTAATTTTTAGAGGAGATTATTAAATCAAGACGTATTACTGTTGGTAGACAGTCAGCAGAATCATTAAAATTAACTATAATTTACTTTTAAAAATTATTAATACTGAAGGAATAGTCATAAACCTTTTGTCTTTATTGTTTTTTTAAGGCAAGAGGAGCAGATGTTCCCGAGATTGCTGGAGACCTTACTCTTAAGACATGTGGCAGTACAGCCAGTATGAAGGTTAAACATGTGAAAAAGTAAGTAGTAGTTTTACAGTAGGAGCCCTGGTGGCGCAGTGGTTAAGAGCTCGACTGCTCTCCAAAAGTTCAGCGGTTCAAACTCACCAGCCACTCCATGGGAGAAAGATGTGGCAGTCTGCTTCCATAAAGATTACAGCCTGGGAAACCCTAAGGGGCAGTTCTGCTCCGTCCTGTAGGGTCACTTGGAGTTAGAAATGACGGCAGCAGGTTTGGATTTGTTTGGGTTAATTTCCCAAGAGATTTAAATGAATTTCTATTTCTATAAATGAAACTTTTACTTAGGTTCCTTACTACATAGACTCTTAATGTCTGTACATTTAATTATGCTTTCAAGTCTTAAATTGTGACCCAACAAGTAGTGGATAAGGCCTGCAGATTGTTTTATTTATCTAAAAATATACTTTATTCTTATTCTTGAAACAATTTACGTCATTATCTGTCAGGTTGCACTGTTTAATAGGAACAATCCAAGTATATCCTTCTTGATACTTTGAATGCAGGCTCTCATTCATTTAGAAAAATCAATGTCTTGTTGTTTAAGTTATGAGATTGCTGTGTCTTAGCTTTTGCTTTTAGGAACCTGAAATAGATACCAATAGTTAACTCTTAAGTGAAATATCTGAAAGTATCTGTTTAAGTTGTAACCAGAAATCCGTCTTTTCCCGTGGGAGAGGGTCAGATAGAAGTCCCTGGCTGGTGCAGGTGGTTAAATGTACTCGGCTGGCATTCAGGTCTACCCAGCGGTGCCTCTGAAGAAAGGCCTGGTGATCTACTTCTGAAAAACCAGCCATTGTAAACCCTATGGAGCACAGTTCTACTCTGACGCACATGGGGTTGCCATGATCAGAACTGATTCTAAGGCACCTGGTTAGGTTTTTGGTTTTACAGAGGGTTAGATAGCTGCACTTCATTTGTAAGTAGGGAAAAGACGAGGATAAAAATGTTCATTCTGCACCCAGATCCAACAGTGCGGGATTGATGGGCTGTGACAACATTCACAGGTAAAATCCCGTTGTGTGTTTTGTGGTGGGAATGCTGCTCTGGCTGGAAGCTGGCTGTTCAGTTTCCCTAACATTCACCGCAAGTAGAGCTTTCCTGTGGGCATTGCGCTGGCTAAGATGAGGAGAGCATAGAGATGCTGGTTTTTTTTTTATTTTGACCTGTGCATTGAATATAGCTTTCATTTGCTTCAGTGTATCTCGGAAAGGATTTGTGTGAATTACGTGTGTTCACGCGCATGGGCTTAGTCAATTTTTTTGCTTGCATGAGCTCTTGAAATCCATTGTATTTTCCCTTTAGGCTTAGTGATTCTGACTGTCCCTGTATCTTCTTTCTTACTGACTTATTTTCATGTACTTCAGGTTACCCTTCACCAAAGGTCACTTTCCGAAGATGGCCGAATGTGCACATTTCCACTATGAGAACGTTGAGTTCGGCAGCATACAGGTATATTTGAAATATTTTCTACATCTAGAATTAAGATATATAAAACTTGAAAGTAGTTTTTTCTATCAATATCTTTTTGGATAGGGTAAAAACTTTTATTCTCTTCTATTGACTAATACTTGATGCCTGATGACTCCATTTCAAGTGGAAACAGTATAATAGAATCACTGCAGATCTCAGAATTTCTATCAGATTCCTAGATAGATTTTGTCCCTGTTTTTTGGCTTGAAGTATTCTAGTTGTTACCTGACTTGGTGTTGTATCATAGTAATGGTGGATAACTCAGAGCCAGAGGTGGCAAGGAGTGGGCTGGGGTGGGAGGAGAAGTGCTAATAATGCATTAAAAAAAATGTACATCATATGTGTGCATATATACATATACGTGTATGTAAAACATATACCCGTATACATATACATTATACACATATAAATGTACAGTTTAAAGTCCACTGTAAGAGAAATTTGCTGCGTGCCTCTCCCCTATCTCATTTGCATTCTCTAACCCCAAAGATTACTATTAGTATGACTTTTGTAATAATTCACTTTTTATAATTTTACTATAAAACTATATTTTCTTTTTTTATATCAGTATGGTACTCAGGTTTACCTGTGTCTGAACTGTATAGTACAGGAATCATTCTAATTCATTCAGCAAATACTTACTGAGCTGTACTGTGTACCAGGCACTGTTTTAGGTGATTCAGCTTTATCAGCTGAACAACAGCAACAACAAAATAAAGCAAAGATCGATTCTTAAAGGGCATAGAGTCTGGCTGAGAAGACAGACAGTGAACGTAAGGAGTATAAAATATGTTTGAAGATTTTATGGAGAAAGGGTATGGAATAAGAGCTGAACATAAGGGAGATCAGAAGTGATGGGGGTGGGTTGAAATATCAAACCAGGGTAGGTTTCATTATTGAATGTATTCTTCCTTGACTTGCTTCTTTCATTTAACATTGTGAAATTCATCCTGTAGATGTATATAGCTATAGCTTATTCACTTTCACTACCGTATATTAATCCACATTATGCATATGCTGCAAGTAATTTATCCATTCTTCTTCTATTGGGAATTTGGATTGTTTTCAGTTTGGGGCTCTGAAACAGTTTTTCCAGAAACATTGTTCCACACAAATCCTGGTGCACATGTGCAGGAGTTTCTTCGTTGTATATACATGGGTGTGGAATTTTCTATAATATACCTACATGTTCTACTTTATTAAGTAAAGCCAAACCTATACGATGGAGAAGCTAATTATCATCAGTCAGAACAAGGCCAGGAGCCGACTATGAAACAGACCATCAGTTGCTCATAATGCAAGTTCAAGTTGAAGCTGAAGAAGATTAAAACAAGCCATGAGAGCTGAAATATGACCTTCATTACATCCCGCCTGAATTTGGAGACCATGTCAAGAGTAGATTAAATTCACTGAACATTAATGACCAAAGACGAGATGAGTTGTGGAATGACATCAAGGACATCATACATGAAGAAAGCAAAAGGTCATTAAAAAGACAGGAAAGAAAGAAAAGACCAAAATGGATGTCAGA